TTTGCTGCGGGAAGGAGGGGGGAGGGGAAGGAGGAAGGGGGTGGGTTTTGGGGCGGCTCTCGAATCTTGAACATGGCGGCCGGATGCGAACCCCCGCGGAGCGCAGCCGAGCGCAGGCCGCGGGCCGCAGAAGTGTGGTGTGCTCCCCACCCGTTGTTCTGCCTCGGCCCTGGACGCCTCGCGGGGGAATGTAGATCGTGGCGGCCGAGCGCAAAATGTTAAAACACCGAAGCGCAGAAGTTCTTCAGGGTATTCTGCGTGGAGAAAGTTGGCGAACCCTCGTGGGGGCTGGGGTCCCGGGGGACTTGGGCATCAAACCCACCAGAGGCCGTCCACCCTCCCGGCCGGGCTGAAGACTCGCCCCCCCAACCCCGGCCTCCAGGGGTAGGGATGCCATTTTGATTTATCGTGCCCGGATCGGGAGCCCCCAGCGCCTTCCCGAGTCCCAAAAGATGCCCCCGAGTGCACACGGCTACCTTCTCTTCTCAGAACAATAGCGGGGCCCGTGAGGAGGGGCGCACCTAGCCACCGTTTCCAAATAAAGTGCCTGAAATGTCAATATAGGTGTGCCCTGGCGAGGTCGAACCTGGCATAGGGTTCAGGCCCCGTTTTCTGCATATCTCACTTAAACGGGAGCCTATGAGAATTGGCACGACTGTACCTTTTGTGTGTGCCGTAACAGCTGGTGGTCCTACTTTATGAGGAAGAAAGGCCACAGCCCGAAAACTTTCGTTCAGCTTCTGCTTAACTGCCTCCGTGCTTGCGTGTGAAAGAACCCTGGTAGTTCTCGGAGCCCAGGCTTGTGTTTTCTCCGCAGAAAAATGCTGTGGAGTCACCTTTCGATGTGTCTAGTGAGGAAAACAAAAATGTGGGACAAAAATGGAAACGTGTAATTTTTGACCCCAGCTCCTCTAGGGAAATAAGTGGCACGAATTGTTTCAGGTTGTGTCCTCGAGGAGGCCAACAGCCAAACGCAAAGGCAGCCCTCTCGGGGCTCTCCAGGGTCAGGCATTTAGGCTCCTGAAGGTGCAGGGCAGCTACTGTGGGCCACCTTGGGAAGGGCCCCAGGTGGGTGGGCAGCTCATTAGCATGGCTGACCCAGATCTGTGTGTGTGTGGGGGGGGGGATCTGCAAAACAGTGCCTTTTTCTGAAGAGAACAATGGGGGTTGTCTTTCCTCCTTTACAGTGCACAAAGAAGATGGCTTTGGAGCAAGAATTTGGAATATGCATTTAAGTTGTAGTGCTTTGCATTGGAAACCCCTGACAATTAAAATAAGC